TCCTGTCCCTGATAAGAATTATCCTGGCAAACCGGACAATTCTCTGTCCACAGCAATCGCAGTACTATCAGATACAATATCTGTCTGTCCCTGAGTGGTGGAATTCTGTGGCCCTGATGTAACAATTCGGTGTCTGGCAATTCCTGAGTAACTAATTCCTCACTGGGTCTGTGCAAGTAAACAATTTTTGTGTCTGTGCGAGTAACAATTCTCTGGCACTCAGTAACAATTCTGTCTGTCCCTGAGTAACAATTCTCTGGCACTCAGTAAACAATTCTGTCTGTCCCTGAGTAACAATTCTCTGGCACTCAGTAACAATTCTGTCTGTCCCTGAGTATGAATTCTGTGGCCCTGAGTAACAATTCTGTCTCTGTGCGAGTAACAATTCTGTGTCTGTGCAAGTAACAATTTTGTGTCTGTGCGAGTAACAATTCTCTGGCACTCAGTAACAATTCTGTCTGTGCCCTGAGTAACAATTCTCTGGCACTCAGTAACAATTCTGTCTGTCCCTGAGTAACAATTCTCTGGCACCCAGTAACAATTCTGAGTGTCTGTCCCTGAGTATGAATCTCTGTGTTCTGTGGCAAGTAACAATTTTGTGTCTGTGAGAGTAACAATTCTCTGCCACTCATAACAATTCTGTCTGTCCCTGAGTAACAATTCTCTGGCACTCAGTAACAATTCTGTCTGTCCCTGAGTATAACAATTCTCTTGCACTCAGTAACAATTCTGTCTGTCCATTCTGAGATAACAATTCTGTGGCCCTGTAACCTGAGAATGCAAGAATTCTGTGGCCCTGAGTAAGAATTCTCTGGCACTCAGTAACAATTCTGTCTGTCCCTGAGTAACAATTCTCTGGCACTCAGTAACAATTCTGTCTGTCCCTGAGTATGAATCTGTGGCCCTCAGTAACAATGTCTGTCTGTGCAAGTAACAATTCTGTGTCTGTGCAAGTAACAATTTTGTGCTGACAAAATTCTGTGAGAGTAACAATTCTCTGGCTGGCACTCAGTAACAATTCTGTCTGTCCCTGAGTAACAATTCTCTGGCACTCAGTAACAATTCTGTCTGTCCCTGAGTAACAATTCTGTCTGTCCCTGAGTTATGAATTCTGTGGCCCTGAGTAAGAATTCTCTGGCACTCAGTAACAATTCTGTCTGTCCCTGAGTACAATTCTGTGGCCCTGAGTAACAATTGTGTGTCTGCAAGTAACAATTCTGTGTCTGTGCAAGTAACAATTTTGTGTCTGTGAGAGTAACAATTCTCTGGCACTCAGTAACAATTCTGTCTGTCCCTGAGTAACAATTTCTCTGGCACTCAGTAACAATTCTGTCTGTCCCTGAGTATGAATTCTGTGGCCCTGAGTAACAATTCTGTCTCTGTGCGAGTAACAATTCTGTGTCTGTGCAAGTAACAATTTTGTGTCTGTGAGAGTAACAATTCTCTGGCACTCAGTAACAATTCTGTCTGTCCCTGAGTAAGAAATTCTCTGGCACTCAGTAACAATTCTGTCTGTCCCTGAGTAACAATTCTCTGGCACTCAGTAACAATTCTGTCTGTCCCTGAGTAACAATTCTGTCTGTCCCTGAGTATGAATTCTGTGGCCCTGAGTAAGAATTCTCTGGCACTCAGTAACAATTCTGTCTGTCCCTGAGTATGAATTCTGTGGCCCTGAGTAACAATTGTGTGTCTGTGCAAGTAACAATTCTGTGTCTGTGCAAGTAACAATTTTGTGTCTGTGAGAGTAACAATTCTCTGGCACTCAGTAACAATTCTGTCTGTCCCTGAGTAACAATTCTCTGGCACTCAGTAACAATTCTGTCTGTCCCTGAGTAACAATTCTCTGGCACTCAGTAACAATTCTGTCTGTCCCTGAGTAACAATTCTCTGGCACTCAGTAACAATTCTGTCTGTCCCTGAGTAACAATTCTGTCTGTCCCTGAGAATGAATTCTGTGGCCTGAGTAAGAATTCTCTGGCACTCAGTAACAATTCTGTCTGTCCCTGAGTAACAATTCTCTGGCACTCAGTAACAATTCTGTCTGTCCCTGAGTAAAAATTCTGTGGCCCTAATAACGTTTCTGTGGCCCTAAGTAACAATTCTCTGGCACTGAGTAACAATTCTGTCTGTCCCTGAGTATGAATTCTGTGGCCCTAACTAGCGTTTTCTTTGTCCCTAAATAACGATTCTGTGGCCCTCATTAACAAGTCTGTGTCCCTGAGTAATGGTTCTCTGTCCCTAAGTAACTTCTCTCTGTCCCCAATTCTCGTTTCTGTGGCCCTAACTCTGTCCCTGTCCCTAGTACAGAGCGGTCTGCCTCTGTTCAATGACTGCAGGCAAATGAAGATTTCCAAAATGGCCGCTATATATACCTCGACCATTACACAGTGCTGGCTGGCTGGCTGCTGATTGGCTGATGCGATCACATGTCGTTGAGGAATGCATTATGGGGCAGCGCGCCTTGTCTGCGCGCCTTCCCCGACATCCCCGCTCCGTCGCCGCACATGTCAGCCGCCATTTTCGGAAAAATTTCGATTCGCGCGCGTCCGAATTAGGCTGTTTTTCGGATTCGGCACGAATCAAATTTTTCCGATATTCGACTCGAATTCCACTTCGGATACTTCGATTCGCTCATCTCTATCAATGTCCCCTTACATTGGGTCAGTGGGAAGAATGTCCTTACATTGGTGTCAGTGGGGAAGAATGTACCCTATACATAGGGGGTCAGTGGGAAGAAATGTCCCTTACCTTGGGGGGACATTGGGAAGGTCCCTTACAGTGGGGGGTCCAGTGGGAAGAATGTCCCTTACATTGGGGTGTCAGTGGGAAGAATTGTCCCCTTACATTGGGTGGTCAGTGGGGAAGAATGTCCCTTACATTGGTCAGTGGGAATGTCCCTTCATTCAGTGGAAGAATGTCCCTTACATTGGTGGTCAGTGGGAAGACAATGTCCCTTACATTGGGGGTCAGTGGGAAGAATGTCCCCTTACATTGGGGATAGTGGGGTGTCCCTTACAGTGCAGTGGAAGAATGTCCCTTACATTGGGGTCAGTGGGAAGAATGTCCCTTACATTGGGTGGTCAGTGGGAAGAAAGTCCCTTACATTGGGGGTCAGTGGGAAGAATTCCCTTACATATGGGGATCCGTGGTAAAGAACGTCCCTTACATTGGTGGTCAGTCCTTTTACAATGGGTCAGTGGGAAGAATGTCCCTTACATTGGTGGTCAGTGGAAGAATGTCCCTTACATTGGGGTCAGTGGGAAGAATGTCCCTTACATTGGGGGTCAGTGGGAAGAATGTCCCCTTACATTGGGGATCAGTGGGAAGAATGTCCCTTACATTGGGTTTCCAGTGGGAAGAATGTCCCTTACATTGGTGGTCAGTGGGAAGAATGTCCCTTACATTGGGGTCAGTGGGAAGAATGTCCCTTACATTGGTGGTCCGGGGGATCAGTGGGAAGAATGTCCCTTACATTGGGGGTCAGTGGGAAGAATGTCCCCTTACATTGGGGATCCATGGGAAGAATGTCCCTTACATTGGGGATCAGTGTGGAAGAATGTCCCTTACATCAGGTGGTCAGTGGGAAGAATGTCCCTTACATTGGGGGTCATGGAAGAAGAATGTCAGTGACCTTAAGAATGTCCCTTACATTAGGTGGGTCAGTGGGAAGAATGTCCCTTACATTGGGGGTCAGTGGAAGAATGTCCCTTACATTGGGGGTCAGTGGGAAGAATGTCCCTTACATTGGGGTCATGGGAAGAATGTCCCCCTTACATTGGTGGTCATGGGGAAGAATGTTCCTTACATTGGGGGTCAGTGGGAAGAATGTCCCTTACATTGGGGGTCAGTGGGAAGAATGTTCCCTTACATTGGGGGTCAGTGGGAAGAATGCCCCTTACATTGGGGGGTCAGTGGGAAGAATGTCCCTTACATGGTGGTCAGTGGGAAGAATGTCCCTTACATTGGTGGTCAGTGGGAAAGAATCTCCTTTACATTGGGGGTCAGTGGGAAGAATGTCCCTTACATTGGGGTCAGTGGGAAGAATCTCCTTTACATTGGTGAAATCAGTGGGAAGAATGTCCCTTACATTGGGTCAGTGGGAAGAATGTCCCTTACATTGACGGGTGGTCAGTGGGAAGAATGTTCCTTACATTGGGGGTCAGTGGGAAGAATGTCCCTTACATTGGAGGTCAGTGGGAAGAATGTCCCTTACATTGGTGGTCAGTGGGAAGAATGTTCTTACATTGGGGGTCAGTGGGAAGAATGTCCCTTACATTTGTGTTGTCAGATGGAAGAATGTCCCTTACATTGGGGGTCAGTGGGAAGAATGTCCCCTTACATTGGGGGTCATTGGGAGAATGTCCCTTTTTTTAATACACATTCCGCTATGAGAAGGGACGCCTCTGAGATAAATATTGTCCTTGCAGCTCCTAAAAATTACACTGAAGTAGCACCTACCCCACCTATCACCACCCTCCTTATAGCACATATCCCCCCCCTACCACCCTTCCCCACCACCGTCACCACCCTTCCCCCGACACTAAAATGCGCCCTGTCCCTGGACTACATTGGCTCCAATAAAATCAAGGTCAGGCAATTCCATAATGGCTTCGGGTGACTGTGCCTAAACCATAAAAGGAGGACGAGGAGCCGCCCAGCAGGACGGCGGAGATGAGAGACATACTTCATTTATGAATGGAAGGACTTTAAAGGACTTCTCCACTAATGGATAGTGCAGAGGCGTCTTCTCCTCCTACCGGCTCCGTGCTCCTGGCATATGTTCGTCCACATTGTGGTGAATCTGTCAATTTCTGTCTGATGTCAGACCCCTGGCCGTGCCGGGATGGTCACTTGAAGCCGGATCCCTTGGCCTCCTACGGTCCCGGCCAACCATGGTCTTGCAGCGTGAAAGCCGAGAGGCTGCAGGCCCCGTCAGATCTTCCTAATCAAAGGAGGCTCAGCTCAGTTTAGGCCTCTGATGTCCAACAGGTGCGGCTGAGGAACAGAAGAGAAAGTCAATTCTCTCCAAACACAATGTGTGGTGACCTTTGTCTAGGAGCAGAACGTCCAGATGAGGTGGACTTCAAACTGGTGGACGGCAGCTGCGGTGCTGGGATAGTCATAGCATGCGAAGGAGAAGGCTTCGGGACTACTACGCAATGACGTCCACACACTATGACGGTCCACACTATGACGGTCCACACAATGACGGTTGGTCCACACAATGACGGTCCACACAATGTTGGTCCACACAATGACGGTCCACACAATGACGGTCCACACAATGACGGTCCCACACAATGACGGTCCACACAATGACGGTCCACACAATGTTGGTCCACACTATGACGGTCCACACAATGTCGGTCCACACAATGACGGTCCACACTATGACGGTCCACACAATGACGGTCCACACAATGACGGTCCACACAATGATGGTCCACACAATGACAGTCCACACAATGACAGTCCACACAATGTTGGTCCACACAATGACGGTCCACACAATGTTGGTCCACACAATGACGGTCCACACAATGATGGTCCATACAATGACGGTCCACACAATGATGGTCCATACAATGACGGTCCACACTATGACGGTCCACACAATGACGGTCCATACAATGACGGTCCACACAATGATGGTCCATACAATGACGGTCCACACAACACAATGTCCATACAATGACGGTCCACACTATGACGGTCCACACAATGACGGTCCATACAATGACGGTCCACACAATGATGGTCCATACAATGTCGGTCCACACATGATGGTCCACACAATGACAGTCCACACAATGATGGTCCCACACAATGTCGGTCCACACAATGATGGTCCACACAATGTCGGTCCACACAATGATGGTCCATGCAATGACGGTCCACACAATGATGGTCCACACAATGACGGTCCACACAATGACGGTCCAACACAATGATGGTCCACACAATGACGGTCCACACAATGACAGTCAACATAATGATGGGGTCCACACAATGTCGGTCCACACAATGACAGTCCACACGCAACGACGTCCATGTCCACGCAATGACGGTCCATGCAATGACGGTCCACACACGCAGTTTACATTTAATATACCGTATTAGGTAATAAGAAGCACAATAATATGTGGGAGCCACGTTGGTCAACCAGGGGCGGACTGGCAACTCATTAGGCCCCGGGCAATAGGGATCATGGGGCCCCTGTGTGTCCTTGCCCAAACTCAAAAAAGCCTATGAAAAAGGTACCAGGGGGCATCTCATATGATGGGCCCCCTACTGACCACCGGGCCCTCGGGGAACGGTGCCCGAGTTTCCAAATGGTCAGTCCGCCCCTGTGGTCAACTTGGGGCTTCAAGTGTGGCCTGTGATAAGACCAAAGGACTGTAGCACGGGGGCGACCATTCTGCCTGAGTTGCTTCCTGGTGATGTAGATGCAGTCCATTAATTCTAAAAAAAGTAGTGGTTTTTTATGAAGGTATGACATTAGGGGTGTCAACAAGGCCAATCAGAAGGTTGCAGATGGGCCTCTGTATTTACCCAATGCCAATCACCAGTTTTTAAAAACTGTCCCCTTACATTGGTGGTCAGCGGATGGAAGACGTCCTTTGTACATTGGTGACTGTGGGAGGAAGAATGTCCTCTTACATTGATGGAGATTCCATTGGAAGTAGACATCCTCTTACATTGGTGGTCAGTGAAAAAAATGTCCCTTACATTGGGGGTCAGTGGGAAGAATGTCCCTTACATTGGGGGTCAGTGGGAGGAATGTTCCCTTACATTGGGGGTCAGTTGGGAAGAATGTCCCTTACATTGGGGTCAGTGGGAAGAATGTCCCTTACATTGGGGGTCAGTGGAAGAATGTCCCTTACATTGGGTGGTCAGTGGGGAAGAATGTCCCTTACATTGGGGGTCAGTGGGAAAGAATGTCCCTTACATTGGGGTCAGTGCGGAGGGGGAAGAATGTCCCTTACATTGGTGGTCCATGGGAAGAATGTCCCTTACATTGGTGGTCATGGGAAGAACGTCCCTTACATTGGTGGTCAGTGGGAAGAATGTCTCTTACATTGGGGGTCAGTGGGAAGAATGTCCCTTACATGTGGTGGTCAGTGCGGAATAATGTCCCTTAGCAATTGGAGGTCAGTGGGAAGAATGTCCCTTACATTGGGGGTCAAGTGGGAAGAATGGTCCTTACATTGGGGGAGTCAGTGGGAAGAATGTCCCTTACATTGGTGAATCAGTGGGAAGAAAGTCCCTTACATTGGGGGTCAGTGGGAAGAATGTCCCTTAACCATTGGGGGTGGGAATGAAGTCCCTTACATGGGGTCACAGGAAGAATGTCCCTTACACTTGGTGGTCAAGTGAGGGAATAATGTACCCTTACATTGGGTGGGGTCATTGGGAAGGAATGTCCCACCATACATTGCGGGGTCAGGAGTGGTGAAGAAAGGAGATGTCCCTTACATTGGTGGTCACCCCTTACATTGGTGGTCAGTGGGAAGAATGTCCCTTCATTGGGGGTCAGTGGAAGAATGTCCCTTACATTGGGGTCAGTGGGAAGAAAAAGGTCCCTTACATT